CAGATTGCGTGCCATGCTTGTTCGGAAATATCATCGACACGGACGATGGGGACGAAACTTCTTTGGAGGGCATTCCTCCAACGAAATTGGCACTGCATACCCGCGAGTTTGGGATGGCGTTTCAGTTCGTCCCATCGGCGCTAACAGATGTAGGCGTTACTGGTACGAAAACAAACGCAGAGCGCAAAGCGGCAGTGTAGCTAGAATATGTCAGCCGTGCCGACACAGTGGCAGACATGATCGGGAGACCAAATTTATAGCGTCGTACGGCACGGCTCCCTCGTTGTCCATTTTCCAGAAAACATCGGCGAGGTGAAAAACTGTGAAACTTTGTCTCCACGAGATGCGACGCATAACTATTGAAGCACTTAATGACGCAGTACAGGCAGCAAGCACTTCATGCTGCTGCACCCAGCGCAACCGCACCACTCCAACTTCAATGCGTACCATTGTTCGCGGCTTGGTTTCGGTTTCGTTTTCTCTGGGGTTCTCACTGCCTACCTTCGGTACCGGCCGCGCGGCGGCGCGCCAGTCGCGTCGCACGGAGTGTTATCTAGAATCTGACAGGCGATACACGGAAGCTCACAGCGTTGACGGAATTAAACTACTGCTGTAGAAAGCATTTCCGTGGTGATAAAATTAAAACTGAACAGTGAAACCTGAATGCCAGAGGGGAGCCAAATTAGCGAGAAAGAAAACTAAGTTCAAGGCGGTATATTTCTTGAAGTTGGGCTTCACCTTAGCTTGACGAAAGGGGAAAGCTGCGGCCTTGGCAACCTGTTAGAGCGCTGGAGGGAGGCACATTACAACGCATCGCCTCCAGAAAGCTGTCGCGTGCTTCACTCCCTTTATCCTGATCGGCTCTAAGGGCCGCAGATTTCGATTTTTTCTAGGGTTATGTTGAAACCGCGTAGAATTCACGCCACACCAGCTGTACTCAGTTCGACCTTAAAAGGGAAACTGAAGCGGTTTTGTATTTGAGTAAAAAGACTTCAATGGCCTTCATTTGACCTCCAGGATCAGGAATAGCGAGATTATTTTTCAATTTGGTGCACGGAGGCTTCAGAAGTTAATTTTTAAAGTACCGCCGAAGCCTCTCCTTCCCGGGGCGTGACGTCACACTAGGAGTTTTCGGAATCTCTGCTCTCGCGCATCTTCAGCGCCTGTCAAAGCTATGCACGCGCACTCTTGCTATTTTCGAAAAGGTTAAAAAGGGACGTCACGACTGCCGTAAGTGCGGAAAAATACACCTGGGAAGTTGTCATTGCACGCGCTGCCCACACGAGCGGCACGCGCTTGGCGGCCCAAAGATCCTAGTATGACGTCACGACTGATCGGAGGTTTTTCGCATTTTCTCGCTTTTAGTTGCATTTTCGGGGAAAACGAATGTGATATTCAGATTCACGGGATAAAAATACGCCAGAATTATCCTATAACTCGTTTTTTTCAAGAAGTGTTTCAGCTTCCCTTTAAGCTGCCAGTGCGGTGGGACCACACGCGCTCGCAGTGCCAATCGACCGCCTCTCCTGCAGTTAGGCTGGCTCGTTCTCTGTGCGTGGGCATGGACGGGAGCCTGATCACGTGGCGAAAGATATGAACTTGCGACCAACCGGTCCAATTAGCGCGTAGCCAAACTGTCAGCTAAGTGGCGAACGCCATTTCAACTCTGACGTCACTAAGCTGTGGTGGCGCTGCTGTTGGTATTGTGCATGCCCAGACTGTTCACTCCCCCCCCACTCGGGTCTTGTTTCTGTGCACGCGTAGTCCTGGTGTGACCAAACACGGGCTCCTTTGGAAATGCTGGGTTGGTTTATAGGACATATCAAGCATCGGTTGGGAGACGATACGGGTGTGTGCTCTTCATAATCAGAAAACTTTTTATGTTTGTTTGTTTTTTTATTCAAAGAAGGTAGATATTTCTATTTGTTTAACTTTCAAGAGACGGGATTTTTTGTTATCTTTGCCTACGTTTTTGAGTGAGGCGGAGGGTGGGGGATGCACTCAATATATTCCGTGAACCTTGCGCGACAAAAAATATATGATTGTCTTTTCGGTCGGTACTTGTGGCAGGGAGAACTAGTATGAACTCATGATGCAATTCCGCCACGTAAAAATGTTTCGCACATGCGCGAAAAATTTTGGTTAGTTAAACCGCGAACGATTGAAATTTTTGTCCGCCTCGAAGTTGATGACAATATATAATAATAATAATAAGCTTTATTTTCATTTTCCATTACAGGTAATGATGGGGCCGTGAATAAAAGCCGCGATAGACGGCTTGACAAGCTCTCGGCCCCAGTTACATTCAGCAGCAGTCGGAGGGAACAAAATAAAATGCAAAGGCATTCAATCAAAGAATAAGCACATTTAACAGATATCAATTACCTTGTTAATCTTCAAAGCATATCAATGTACAAAATCTACGTTTACATAATAGATACAAATACATGGACATGAGAAGGAATTATTAACAACTTACGGAGAACCTAGAGATACAACATCGAAGATATACAAAACCAAATATCAGTAGACTACATCAAAGCTATACATGACAGTACGTAATTCATTTAAACTCAATTTATCTATATCAATATTGTGTAAAATTAGTGAATTGAGAAGTCTTGGCACTCGGTAGGCTAACATTTCTTTGCCAACACTCAATCGACGCTTTGGTATTTGCCAATAATCGGGGTTACGAGTTTGATACGTTAAAACATGTTTTTGTAAATTTGACAATGTTACCAAGGAAGAGGTGTTTATGTTGCAATTCTTTTTTAAGCCTTGTGAATAGTCTATAGCTATAAATATTTTTGATACTAAGTATATTATAAATTTTGAATAAGTTTTCTGTATGCGACAAATATGGTGCGTTTGCAATAGTTCTTAGCATTCTTTTTTGAATTAAGTGTACTTTCTCCAAGTATATGAAATATGGATGCAAGTTACACATATTCCTTGCTGTTTTAATAAGTAACAATCACGTTTCTACGTTACAGAAAAATAGAAACGTGATGCAATACAATCGGCTAGGATTTATGAAGAGTTGCGCGAATAGGCAAGCTTTCCATGAGGTAAACCTTGATAGGAATATTTTGTGCCAACTGACGTATACATACAAATATATATATATATATACAATGGGGCAGCTGCATGCACGGCACTGTCACTGCAAGAACCATCTTGGTTACGTTATAGGCCACACATTGCGAACATTCGTATATGACAAAAACGTCCGCCTCTTGATGGCAAGACGCTGCTTCATTTTTACATCATTACATCAATCTTTAGGTCGTTTATTTGATAATTTATTTAGTTTTGAAACTGTGCGTGTGCTTTCTCTTGTAGAAATTGAGCATCACGGGATACTGCGATTAGTGAAATGAATGACCTGTATCTCGGGGATAAATCCTCACAATGATTCCTCCGGTCCATGTGTCAAATTAGCAGGGAGTTTCGAACACGCAAACGAGAGAGAGCATGATAGCCGATTTCATTATCAGGCAGGTGTACACTTCGCCGACAAATGGCTGTAGTCGCTGACAACCCATGAAACGCAGGGTGTGGCCATATCACGTTCACGTTTCTTTGCTTCCTGATTGGTTCCTCGACATTCTTATCGGCCAATGCCACAATCTGATTGTCCGAGGGGCAATATTAATAAGATGGTCGGGACCCACCGGCCACGCCCCGCGAATCTCATTGACTATAAACGTAACCTCTGCCACTGTCTGTCGCTCCTTCATAACATACCACAAGACTTAGACGAAGAATATAGGATTTTTATTGTAGTTTTAATGGATATATTTTAGACGAGGAGTTCAGAATACGAAAACAGGCTCGTCAAAAGTCTTTCGTGATTCAGGGGACATCCCTTCGGTGACATTAAATGAAGAAATAATTTTCATGACGCGACAAAATGCGTTTTGGAACTCATATTTTATAAGAGGTGACGGAAGGGACAAAAAAACAAAATGAATCGCGCACACAACTGCATTTTCTGGTTTCAAATGCTAAATTAATTTAATATTAGGAGCGAAGAGGATCCTTAAATTTCAGTCCAGCTTAAACTCAAACCTGTTCTGATTTCAAAAGAGTAAAAATTTTCCCCACGCCGAGACATACGAACAAAAATTCAAATAACAAGACGATATATATGCTCGACATAAAAAGAAAGAATTTGAAACCGTAAGGCGTCTTTTTTTGTTTCAAGGTCACGCTAAAGCAAGATAAGTTTGTCAGAATTTTTTAGCTTTGGTATTTAAGTATTACAAGGGACGGCGTTACCAGTAATTGGTGCGTTACTCTTTCTGTAACGTAGTGACCTGCCCGTCAAATTTTCAAAACGGTAACGATTAACGTAATTACGTAACTTATTTTGAGTAACGGGCTATCTTACTCGTCACGTCTTCTTCCTAAAACTTAAAAAAAATACTTCAATTTTTTTGTGTTTTTAGGCGCCCAGTTATACAAAGTCATGCGTTTTTTGCGCTTTTCTTCGCGTTTTTCTTCGTGAGTATTTACGTGGAACCGTAAAAGAGATAAGGAAATTAAGCTTCTAAACCGACCGAATGTTTTTTAAAATATGATGTGTATGCAACCTGTAACGTCAAAACAGTAAATCCTTTTAAACTCAAACATAAAAAGTAACGTGTTTTACTTTTTATGGGTAATGGTAACGCGTTCCATTTTATTTTGAACTAGCGTAAGTTTATACCGTGTTCGTTTGGTTTGCAAGTAACGAGTAACAAATTTCGAGACTCCTTTATGGTAACACCTAGAACAATTAACTTTCCACACGAGGTGGCCCAAATTATATTAAAGCAATTTGCGTCGACGATGGTTTTCTTTTTTCGCAGAAAGCATAAGTAAAATGGACACGGATGTCTGTATCCGCAGACCTTTAGGTCCTAAATTTTTCCACTTTTTATTTCTCAGTGAATAATAAATTTTGCAAGAGTAGTAACAACGGTGGCTCTTTTACATTTCGACCTCTCGCTAAGATTACTACAGCGCGGGCGAGCTGAAGAGGTGCAGAACCCCGGACTTGGATCCCACGCGAGACTGCAAGCCCGTCTTGTGCGACATCAAGTACAATGGGTTGCGCAACTTCTTCAACGAAACCAGCTTTCGGTGCGAGCCCACGGCCAACTGCTGGGACACAAGTGACGACGAGATGGTGCGTCCCGTAGCAAGCAGAGTATCAAGGGGCTCCAGCTAGCACAGTTCCTTGGCACAAACTTCGGTTTTTCTCTTGGAATTTAGGGCCTTAAGAAGTCCGAAGCCGAAGTATAGTCAAACTTCAACTTCTTTTGCCAGAGCCTGCAGGAACATTAGCCCTAATTCGCCAAACTAGTGTCAGAATTACGCTTGACTTATGATTGTCCCATTTGGTGTGTCAACTTTGGGCCTAACTTGCCCAAACAAGTGCCAGATGTATGCTCCACTCATGGTTCTTCGTCACATGGCAGCGTTGGCTCAAGTCAGGTATTTCGGCAATTATGTGACGAGCCAGAAAAAAAAAAAGTCATAGAAGCTCCTCCAAAAAAAAGTACTCTGGCAATAACCAACGCCTCGGAAGAAAACCGAATGAGGCCCGTTAGATCCCTAAGATTGCAAAGCTTGTGCCAATTGGTTAGGCGCATACCTCTGACGTGCCATCCCAGCTGCTGGGGTGCGCTTGCTCTGTGTCTAGCAGAAACCTACGCGGAAAGCAAGTTCGTCTGCTTCTTTTGCAGGGGTTGTGCGAACGTCAGAACGCCGAGCTTTGATTGGCTCCGATTGAAGGATAGTGGGTAGACCTCAAAGCAAGCTGACTTAAGGTTTACCCACTATCCTTCAATCAGAGCCAATCAGAGCTCAGCGTTCCGACGTCAAAGCAAACCCCTGCAAATGAAGCAGACGAACTTGCGCTCCGCCTACACCAACGGCGACTATGACGTCACCGCCCTGTGGTGGAGGTGCTGTTGGCGCATGTTCAGACGCTTCACTGAACGCGAATAAGGCTTCTGAGCGCGTGAATGGTGCCACTTCTGGTGTGGACAAGAACTGATTGACTTGCTTCTTTTTGCCGAGTCCACTCAGCAGTCCTGTTAGTGCGAGACTATAATCGCCCCCGATAATTAGGCTTCCGGCTTGGTCCAAAGCTGCACCAAATCGGTAAGTTCGAAAGCCTCTCCCCAGCCACGATTAAAAATACAATCTGTCGAACGAAGGTCGCATAAATTGTAAACATCATCAAGGTCAGCGGATGCCATTCGATCATTTGTCGCAACGTTCCAGAGAAAACAAAGGACGGATGTATTCGAGGTATTCTTGGTTTACTTAAGTAAAGTAATTCTCCATGCATGCCCATTTTTTCTCAGTTCACTCTGTGAAATATTTTTCGCATGTAATTTAAAATGATATAGCTGCGAAGAAAAACTATGAGTCAGAAAACATGCCATTTTCAGTATGTCTCACATCTCTATGCCAGCTCCAGAGGTGTCCGCTTTTTGCCTTGCGTCTTTCTCCAATTTGTTTTTGTGCCCCTCAGCCTGTTTAGAGCTTGGAAGCTGCAGTCCCATAAAATATAGCCTCTTTCTTTAAATTCTTTTGTAAATTTGTTTTAAGGGTGATCGACATCCTTGACGGCAGCAGATACCACCTTAGCTGCTACAAGGAATAAAGCTGTTAGCACGGTCTGTACATTTTTGAGGTCATATTTTAATATTAGAATGTAATGAAATTATTTTCTGCACTCGTTCTTCCAATATGTTCTGACGAATGCCACTCGCGCACTGTATTACGAAAAAAAAAAATAAAGTCACACTAGTTGATTTTTAGATTCGGGCATGTGTAATAAGTCACCGCAAATCTGAAAAGGGAAAGAAACACGAGCTGGCCCTAAAACCACACTTTTTTTTTTAACGTAGAATAGATTAACAAAAACTAAGTTAGGATTTGTGTAGCGGCGTCTTGCCTTGCAGTCGTCAGCTAAATTTAGCGAGCTAGTTCGTTCAGATAATTTAAGCGGGATAGCGTCTCGCTGAATTTAACGGTACGCCGCCCGTGGGTAAAGTGGACGTGTGAAGTTGTCTTCCCGTCATGGACAGGTTTGCGCAGATATCGTTAAAGTTTGATGCGTTTGGATGCAATTGAGTGCGTTGCGCAGTCTTGTGCTCCCTTTTTACTACGAGAGACGACCAGTGTGCCTAGATTACAATCTGTTTCTAACCGATCGATCAAGGTCCCGTGTTTTAAGGCCGCTTTTGTAATACAGCCTGCGAGAAGGAGACAAAAACGCCCGGCTTCTGCAAGCATCCTCACCTAAATGGATAAATGGATGTTACTCCGTGGCTATAGCGCCCCCTAGCCTAAGTCTAAAAAGACAAACATATGATTCCTCACGCCCTTCTAAGCCGATTCCGCTTGCTCTCCCCCTCTTCTCGCTACAACGCTGCGCACGCACACCTGCGACCAGACCGCGCGGAAAGCGTCCGCCATTAAATTGAAAACGCTTCCCGTGTATTGAGTTGCTTCCACTCCTAGATCTACGTTGTCTAGAGAAGACTCTGGCACGCTGGTGCTATCTAGGAGGTAGCCCTGGGACTGCACGTATAGAGCGAAAGTTGTTGCATCATTTGCGAAATCAAATGAACGTAAATCTCTGAGAAGTGAAAAAATTGTCAAAAGCTTTTCAAGCCCATAGGAAATGGAAATGCAGCGTTTCTGTCCGTTTCGGCGGAAAGCATATAAGGCATCTCTCTACCTCGCGAAGGTGTACCTGGCCGGCAGCAACACGTGTCGTCGTGCCGGGGAAGCCCTGACCGAAGAAGACATGGACTTCTTCGAGAAGTTCCAGGAACAAAAGGAGCCGCTCAGAACCCTTCACGGATACCCCATTGTAAGGGTTCTTATCACCTCCTAGTACGGTAACGAACTAGAGGGTACCGGTGAAATTCAGGTTGCTATAGGGAGTATTCACTGGACGCCATATTTGAAAGCGACGTTTAGAGCGCATGCTCGGAACAAGCTCACGTTAATAGGCTGCTAAGACCGGCAATCTTGGTGGTGCGGAATGCACGTGGCGAAAGAACTGTGGAAGCACGTCGTCAGCACGCACTCAGCAGTCGCGCACACAGCTATGGCCGCCAGTGAATACTCGCTATACTCCGCTTCATGCTTAGTATGCAACGCTGCCAAAGCTACTGGCGCGAGCGCGTGGCTTTGTCTATGCTTGAGCTCGCGCGAGCACGCGTGCAAATGATCAACGAGATCAAGCCCCATGCTCGCGCCAGTAACTTTGACAGTGTTGCACACTAAGTATGAAACCGAGTATAGAAACAGTAGGATTAAACACCGAAGCGGGACAGGGAGCCGCCTCGGTGACTCCGAAGCAAGGCGCTGGCATAAGCATTTTCGAATGGCGGGTTCGAATCCCGGCCGAGGTGCCCGCAATCTGACGGACGCTTGTTGAGGATAAGGCGCCGTGTAACCCAGATTTCAGTTGCACGTGAACATGGGCGTACCAACCAGGGTGGCAAGGCGAGCGCTTGCCCCTCCAGTTCTCAGAGGGGGGGGGTCAAGGCATGTGTTTTGACCCCCCCCCCCCCCCCCCCCCCCCGCCCGAAACAGCCGCCACTGGGCTGGGCAAACACTGGCCGAAGGCGCCCAAGGGATACCATGGGCACCGCCCCCGGCCTTGGGGGGGGGGGGGGGGGGGGAGGGCATAGGGGGGAGGTCTGGTTTGCCCCCCCCCCCCCCCCTCACTCAAAAACAAGTTGGTACGCCACTGCACGTGAAACGATCTCCATGTGATGCAAATTAATTGTCAGTCCTCCGCTGGAGCGTGCCAGATGCTTTTGGTTTTGGCACGTAAAACCTCCAAATATAACCTTTAAAAGTGGAAGAGGTAAGCAGCACTCACGTATAATAATCTTTATTTTGTTGGGTGTCCAAAGACAGCACAAGGCCTAAATAGTGGTACACCGCTCGTCATCAAGGATAAATGCAGGCAACAAAACAAGGTCGTGACTATGTACAAATAATTGACTCAAGCCTATGTCGAAAAACAATCAGGTCGCTAAAGATATCTACAGCAGATTGATCCAGTTTGTTAAATTCAAGTTGCATTCTTGTTAGTGGTGACGCGACATTCAAAGCAGACGGGTAAAAAGGACTTTGAAATCGATTGGACCGTAAGGGAGCGTGAAAACAGACAGTGCTTAACAAAAGTGGTGAGTCAACAGCACCGTTTACAACCTTATGTAAAAACATTAGATCACGTAATCGTCTTCTATCGAGTAACGTACACAACCCAAGTTTTTTAAGTAATTGTTCGTAGCTGTAGTAGCAAGTACGGTCGAAATATCTGTCGTAAATTATGCCTATGAAGCGTTTTTGAACACGCTCAATACAGCATGATGCAGTGAGGTTAATGCAGTTCCATACAGAAGAAGCATACTCCAGCTTCGTACGCACTAGGCAACAAAATAAACGCACAAGACAAACAGGCGAAGAAAACTTTCTCGTGAAACGAGATATCGCCCCAAGGTTTCTAAAAGAGGCGTTGCAGATAGTTAAAACGTGATGATTAAAATTTAACGATGAATCAATAAAAATTCCAAGATCACGAATGACGGAGACTCGGGTGATGACGCTGCCACCTATTGTGTAGGAAAATGCAAGCGAATCACGCTTTCTAGTGAGAGACATTGTTCTTGTTTTTTGTTCGTTCAGTGGAAGATAATTCTTTGCACACCACTGTGAAATTTGCAATGCGTCCTCCTGAAGAAGTACGCAATCGGAGTGAGATTGTACACGTCGAAACAGTTTGATGTCATCCGCATACAAGAGCACTTTTGAATTTTTCGCACAGAGCGAAATGTCATTCACAAACATCAAAAATAATAGTGGACCCAGGTTGCTTCCTTGGGGTACTCCAGAAGGCGATGAAAAATAATCGGACATGGATCCTGACACACGAACATAATTTGTACGACATGTAAGATAACTTTTGAACCATTGGCAGTAAGTCAAGCACAAACCACAGCTATCTAGTTTCGTCAGAAGTGTGCTGTGATTAACCTTGTCGAATGCCTTCGTCATATCAAAGTATATTACGTCGACTTGCTCGCGGTTGCAAACCAATGGAACGGCATAATCTAAAAAAGAGCATAGATTTGTTTCAACCGACTTACCCTTCAGAAATCCATGTTGTTCTGGGTTCATTTTATGTCTAAAGTGCCTGTACAGACGTTTATGCATTATCATTTCAAAAACTTTGGAAAAACTGCACAACAATGAAACGGGACGATAGTTGTTTACAGTACTAGGGTCCCCTGCTTTATGAATCGGAACAACAACAGAGCGTTTCCAGATAGAAGGAAATATTCCTGAATGTATCGATAAATTAAATATGTGTAATAAGACAGGAGTTAGCAGTTCGACACACCCTTTCACAATAAAACTTGGAATTCCATCTGAACCAGCAGACAGCTTCGATTTCATATTACGAATGCTTTCCCTGATTTCAGGTTCGTCAATTGGGATAAAAGACAGAAAATCAGATGTGCCATGGCACGTCGCGTTATTGTCAGGGACAGATGCTGATGAAAAACATGATTTAAAATGCTCAGCAAACATGTTGGCAATTTCAATTGAATCACACGTATAGCCAGAACTATTTCGCATCGGTGCCACGCTACTATTCCGCTTCTTTTTTGTCGGTACATATTTCCAAAAGTTTTGAGGCTTGGCGTACATGTCAGACTCAAGCCCATGCAAATGTGCACTTTCGTCTTTTTTAAAAAGCCATTTTGCCAAAGCACGACACTCACTAAATTTTGCGTACCACTTGTCCAATCCCGACCTTTTAAAAAGACGGTGTTAATGAAGCTTACGTCTCAAGCAACTTCTTAATTCCTTTGAGAACCACGCAGGGTACTTGTTTAGTCTCGAAACACGTTTAGGCACGAAGTCATTTATCGCGCTCGAGACCACTTCTGTAAGTACCTCAGCAGCTGAATCAGCGCACTTGTTATTCAGGATAGGTTTCCAATCATAGCACTGAAAGTACTTGTACATATTCAAATAATCGCCACTGCTGTACAGTAAGTACTCATAGCTGCATAGGGCCTGTATATTGCAGGCAGGGATGGGCAGTATTTCAAATACAAGTATTTGAAATACGTATTTCAAATACTTTGTGTATTTTGCATTTGTATTTAATTACAAATGGGGTAATGTATTTGACGTGTGTATTTAAATACTAAATTGTGGGTATTTCAAATACAATTGTAATTAAATACAATTTTGTGGGCGAAAATACATCCCTCAAATTTATTGTCACTGTCCAGAGCAGGAAGAAAACTACGTTCTGCACCGAATGCAGTGTCTCTCAATCAAGCACAAGCGTTTAGTGGCTTTGTGATTACGGTGCTAGTCCAGGGCAAGAATAGTGACGAAATCGATATTCACAGGTGGACTGGCTAAATAAGCGCCTGTGACGACTTGTGATGCTTTCCAGCCTGATTTCCATCCATATTTTGCCTGGAACATTCTAAATGCGCGAGTCGTCCAGATTTTCGAAACTGGTGCGAGTTGCAACAATAAAAAAATTTCTAGCTAGTGCTCCGCGTCTTGGTCGTCTCGGTTCTTTGTTGGTCTATACCAAAATGTAATCGACCAAAAAAAGCTACTTGAAGCTCTGTACTTTTTTCACCTATTACGTCCAAGCTGATGACATTTTATTGTGATTATATTTCTATTATGTTACTATCGCACACTAAGTCCCGAGTGTGCAATGCAAAATTAAAATGAGATACACAGAAACCGGTTGCAGGTGCCCTGAAGTCGCTGACGCAAATTTTGAGGAATGTATTTGGAAAAGTATTTGGAGGAGACCAAATACATTTGGTTGTATTTGTATTTTGTACTTAAATACTTTTTTGGAAATGTAATTAGATTTGTAATGAAATACATTTTTGACGAAGTATTTTGTACTTGTATTTTGATACATATTTGCATGTATTTTGCCCATCCCTGATTGCAGGACATCCAGTCCTCTCTTAGAATGGTTACAACCTGTCCTTGAAACTCAGCTTACTATATTACAGGGTGGCAAGCAGGTCTAACGCTGTAAAACTAACCGAAAGAAATCGACGCCTGCACATTGAAAGATCGAACTTACACTGAATGTGCATTGAATAGGTCAGTTTTACCGTGTGAAATTTCAAGCAGTAGTTCTCTTGTAAAAAATGAGAGCAGAAAATTTACCAAAGTCAACGTCGAGTGCGTTTGCCGACGACCGAGTTTCTGATAGGCACAGCGAGCACACTACAGAATGCGTCGCGTGCTCCCTACGCATATTGGGAGATGGCGCCACAAATTAATCGAGTTGGTAACTCGGTCGTCTGCGAAAACATAATTACGCCTTGAAATTTAACACGGTAAAATTGATCTGCTCAGTGCACATTCGGTGAAAGTTTGAGAATTCCATGTGTAGGCGCCAGTTTTTTCAAGTTGTTTTACAGCGTTGGATCCTCTTGAGCAACCCTTTACATGCAGAAACCTCGGACAGAAATAAATACAAGAAAGGTACGAGTTTAGTACTGCTTTCAAGTTCTAACTTGAGGTTTATCTTTCCGTATGTAACATTTTGATTTTACGTGTATGCAAGATAAGCCGTGGAGATAGGCAGTTCATGTTACTCACCGGCAGGGATGGGCAAAATACATGCAAATATGTATCGAAATACAAATACAAAATACTTCGTCAAAAATGTATTTAATTACAAAGCTAATTACATTCCCAAAAAAGCATTTAAGTACAAGATACAAATACAACCAAATGTATTTGGTCTCCTCCAAATACTTTTCCAAATACATTCCTCAATATTTGCGTCAGCGACTTCAGGGCACCTGCAACGGGTTTCTGGGTATCTCATTTTTATTTTGCATCGCACATTCGGGAGTTAGTGTGCGAGGCTCTAGTAACGTAATAGCAATATAATCACAAAAAATGCAATCAGCTTGGACGTGAAAAAAGTACAGAGCTTCAAGCTGCTTTTTTTTTTTTTGTCGATTACATTTTGGTGTAGGCCAACAAAGAACCGAGACGACCAAGACGCGCAGCACTAGCTAGAGAATTTTTTATTGTTGCAACTCGCACCAGTTACGAAAATCTGGACGACCCGCACATTCAGAATGTTCCAGGCAAAAATATGGATGGAAATCAGGCTGGAAAGCATCACAAGTTGTCACATGCAGTTATTTAGCCAGTCTGCCTGTGAACGTCGATTTCGTCACTATTCTTGCCCTGGACTAGCACCGTAATCACAAAGTCATTAAACGCTTGTGCTTGACTGAGAGACACTGCATTCGGTGCAGAACGTAGTTTTTTTCCTGTTCTGAACAGTGAGAATAAATTTGAGGGATGTATTTTCGGCCGCAAAATTGTATTTAATTACAATTGTATTTGAAATACCCACATTTTAGTATTTAAATACACACGTCAAATACATTACCCAATTTGTAATTAAATACAAATGCAAAATACACAAAGTATTTGAAATACGCATTTCAAATACTTGTATTTGAAATACTGCCCATTCCTGCTCACCGGATATAAGCTATGCGCTAAAATATTTGCTGAGAGGGTACGCGGCAATTGGGACATAAATCCGGTTTTTAAATGCACAATTGCATACTTACGGAAACTAACTCAGATTTCGAGAACGTTCGAAGCGTGCGTAGCGTGGCACAGTGGAAAGTTGCAAGGTGGCCAGCCGCCAAATGCTTCTGGAAACAAAAAGGAAACAGTACAAAAGGGGGACGATGCGACGCTTTGAAAAGACACGGCGATGCGTGCCATGAAGCCGGAGAATGAACTTCAGCATCCACTCCGTTTCTTCTAAAATACTTTTTGCGGTTAGATTAATACATTAAAATACACCCGCAAAATTGTTTATAACTTCAGCAAAATTATAGTGGCGCCAGACGATCGAAACATGTCTTTTTCGGCGCTTTTGACGCGCTTTGAATCGCGCTTTGTGACACGCGCTGACCAGAAAGTGAACTGCCACAACGGACGTCCGGACCCGTCCGAAGGCTGGTGCGTGTGCGACCCGGGCTGGAAGAGCGACCCCCTGGACCACGACGGCTTCAACCCGGACCTGATGGTGTACCACATGTGCACCGTGTTCAGCGAGACGAGCAGCAGCACCGTGGCTCCCGGCGGCGGCGGCTCGGCCAAGGGCAGGCACACCAGGAAGATGTACATCGCCTACGTGCCCAAGAAGCGAAGACGTATGAATGTGCGTTCCAACTGAAGGCTTTATGGCAGCTTGCCGTTCTGTACGCCGTTTCATACATAGTCCCACTGCACTCAACGCTACGACCTGCCAATCGGGCAGCGCCAAAAGCGTATCCTCGTGGCACTCGTCATCTTTGTGGGTTTGCTCAACCAATCACGCAAAGTTAATGCGGCGGGATGCTGCACTTCTTTTTTTTTTTTTTACCATAGACGTCGAGCGTTGTGACGATCGAGATGTGGTGCTGCTTGACTATCCTCCGTCGGATCCTATAGAGTTGACTGCAGTCGGACTTAACCTGAAACCAAACATATCAGATGGTTGAGTTTTGGCGCGTGTTTCCTTCGCTTGTTGGAATGGCGAGCGTGCACCCCGCTTCATCTCACGCAGAACGGATGCTTTTTTTTTTGAAGTGGCATTATCTTTTATTTTGTTGGTGGTGATGTGTTTCAGTGTCGTAGTTTTCTGATTCCTACCCGTGACATCACAACCAGGATTGCTCTCAGCGGTTGCAACCGTGGTGAAAAATCTTCAATGAAATAGTTCAGTGGTGGGATGAAGGAGCAGAGTGCAAAATCGTTATCCTGCATTTAACGCAACACCGCTAAAGTTAACGTTCTGAGAAACGTTCCCCCCCCAGGACGGAGCCATCTTTCAATCGCAGCGCCGACGACGCTAGCTATTGGCGACCTGCGCGATCAAAAGCGTTGATGTGGTCGGCCTTCCACAATTGGCCGACTGGTGACTATGACATCAGCATAGGTTTTCTCATCGACAGAAAGAAAAGTAATGTAAGAACTTCAATTTTGACGGTGTTGGCAGTGTTGGTTTCAGAGCGCAATGATCTCAAACTTCCACCATGCCAATTATAAACACCGTCAAACTTGTTCGTAAGGTAATGACGTCACGAAAGGAAACCAGAGGAGGGCGCCACCAAAACATCTCGCTGCTAATACTCCGTTCATCCTTCAGCTGAGACTGGAGCCATAAAGCCCCTTCATGTTTCAAAAGTAGCGCAATGTTCGTCGATGCACGAGGCACGTGCAACGTGCAGCCCTCGGGAAGATCACGGCGGCACAACGCAGCACTCAGCTAGATTTCAGACGCCATGAATTTCCCAAAAGTGGCGCGCGGCACGTGCCTCAGGCCTTTCTACGACAATGAATGGTGCCACTTTTCCCACGATAAAGGGGCTTTTGGGGCCAAAGCTACAAGTGGTAGCTGGCCCGCGCTCCTGGCTTTGAGACGTGCATTTCTAGAGTGAGCGATCGTTCAACGGAGAAACGGCTCATGAAAAGCAGCGACCTAGAGCTCTCGTGCTTGTGGCATTGGCTGCATTGTCAGCTTAATAGGCTGGTGGTGTCGATGCAGCATTTATCTGGTTAGGCAACTTTGTGGGTGTGTGGATAACTTGTCTATACTTGACTGCGCTCTTGGCGTGAGGAAGTGAACTGATTACGGCAGACTGTTGTCCAGCCACCTCGAAAGAACGAGGACGAAGTCTGTACGGAGTTCTTGTTGAGTAGTTTAGATTGTTAGCCGAAACAAACTGTTAATGATTAACGAAATCATGTTCGAGACGTGTTAAACGTTTAGAATCGAGGCTAAGTTGATGTAGTTTATGAAGTAATAACATGCACGTAAGCACTCGGCGGTAAACACAGTGGACGTAAGCTCTCGGCATTCGCTGTCTTTATCTCAAGCGGTGGGACTTATGCAGGCTCTTTCAAGCCTCTTTCACATGTGTCATAAAATGATGGCGTGCCTCGCAGTCATAAGCCGCACCCAACAGCGGCACCTGGTCGGATTTGGTCCTTTTGGTGTTGCCAAAGGCGTCTGAGCATACCCTCGACGATGCTTTTGGCACAATGCTCCCGGGAGTGACGCCTGATATCATTAACGTTGTAAATCGGGATAGGTGGGGAAGGTACGAAGCATTAAAACATTGGAACTACATTCACGCTAAGGTTTCTTGTACTTATTAAGATGGAAGCTTGGGCGAGTTTCTGAATCATTGAATTTTGTTCTCGTCATTTTTTTTCTTTGGCGCTGTTGCTGCTGATTATCTTGTGGTCATCGTACTACTTTCCGCGACTACAATTTTTCTGAGTAAATTTATTTGTACACGCGAAGGCAACGTAGACGATAACACGACGACCAAAAATTTTCGGACATGTTCATATAGTAAAAAGAACCTACTCGGAACTGACTCACGCGCGGCGTGGTACGCCTAGAATAAACGCGACGCTTCACACAACGCCGTCCCTAGGTCTCTTTGCCCATGACCTTCGTTGTTGCGTGCCCAGAGCGCCAGCAATGTGCCGGGTCGATGAGGCGCCAGCTGGGCGCTACATTGAAGTTCAGGACACTAAGCGCGTGGGCGCCTCTTCCGAATGCCCAGCCTCCAGCACGCTCTCGTCGTCTTCTTTCGTGCTTCACGCACTTTAGTCAAAGATACACTAATACAGCTGTCAGACGGACATGTTAAAAGCCTTCAGAACGAACTGCTTTAAAGGATCGGCGAACCAGCACAGGCAGACCAGCGCAAGATCGCGAGCAAATTCACCGATACTTTGAAGGTGTTTGTTCACAAAGCCTTTTGTGTGCCCGTCTGACTGCGGTAGAACGGCATGGAGGAGTTCCAGTTGTCATGGCCCAAGGGCGAACTTTTTATACTCCGTTCACCCTTAAGCTGAGACTAGAAGCTCCGCCTTCATCGCGAGCTCGAGCTTTCTGCCATTGCTAACACTACTGTGAACGCGCAGGCGCGCGTAACCAAAGCATGGCGGCAGCCAGCGATCTCGCGCTCGCCTACCTCGAGCGTTCACGCGCTACCAAGGCAGAGCGAAAGCACGAAAGTGAGGGACGGATCTTTTCTTTTGGCAAAAATGTGATCCAAGCAGTATTAGCGCCGAGATATTTTGGTGGCGTCCTCTAATGGTTTCCATCCGTGACATGACGACTGGGATTTGCCTCGCTCTGACGTCACCAGTTGTTATCCTGGCTACTTACCACCAGGTGCGACGACGAGTTCGATGGTGTGTTTAAAAAGCACAGTGGAAGCTAGGAACCATCGCAACCGGAACTCACACCGTCAAAGTTGACAATCTGACAATGATCATATGCCCATGGCCTGGCCAATCGTGGAAAGCTGACCGCAGCGACGCTTTTGGTCGTGCACATCGCTGTCGAGACCGGTTATAACGAAGTCAACGGGAATTAAAAATCACTTCGCTGTATCCGCTATTTCGTTATAACCGACCTCGGTTATAACGAGGTACAAAAGGGAATGGGAAATCGTGGTCGCTTCGCTGTAGCCGCTATTTCGTTATAACCGACTTCGTTATAACCGGTTTCGACAGCAGACCATTCTAACAAGGTCGCAGCCATCTTGATTGTCGTCACTTCTGGTATGCGGTAAAACATTCTTTTGATCTCTCTACGCCGGTGGAAGGTGTTTACAAAAAAACGCGGGATTGTCACGTACATTTTGGTTTTGCCTCACCTATATTTTCTCGCATATTCCAAGTTGAAATGTTTTATTACTTTTTCGTCCCGCATAACAGCTACGGAACCCACGTGACTCAGAACGAGAGAAAACAAAGAGCGTCTATAGTCTGTTGCAGGGTTGGGCAGTATCGCGATACAAATGTATCGCGATAGTATTTCAGAAATACATTTCGTATCTGTATTTCTGTATCGCGATACATTTTTTTCACCAGTATCTGTATTCCTGTATCGAAATACATTTGGTATGTTTTTTTGTATCGCGATACAATCAGGATGAAATGTATTTCGTTACATTTCTTGAGAAATACCCCCCCCCTCCCCCTCTCCCCCTCTGAAAAAAAATAAAATCCAGACGCTTTTTTTTTTTTTTTGAGGGCACCAGGGCCAAGGTGGTACTGGGGCATTGTTAGTGTGCCGACAAAGGCTCCTTTCGATTTTCCGAACTATTTTTCTATGCTTCGTCTTCCTTCTTCTGAGAAGTGCTGCGTAGTCGGGGACTCGAACCAGGTGGTGTGCCAGAAGTGGACTCGGAGCATCTTGTGCCTCAGGTCCTTAGGTAGGGATTTCTTGAGTCATTGTTTGCTGGGATCCAAAGCCCGCTGCTAACCGTCTCTCTTGCCTTAGCGTACACAGTTTACCCAGCGGGAAAAGCTGAGTCACAGTCTGTTGCAGCACGAGCCGGGCGGTGGTTGGCTTGAAATAGTAGGATCACTCACGCAGTGAAGTTCAACACATATTCGAATACGTCTGCGGCTGCGTGACCCGCCGCCGGTGATCAGCCGACGTGAACGTGACCCGCTGCTCTGACGATCTGAAACCCAGGAAGGAGGCCAGACGTGGCCTCGCGGTGCCGACTCAGACTCCGTACAGGTGCGACTGGTCTCAAGCGCGCTGTTTCTCGGAGAGCTCGTACCTGTGCCGCCACTATAAGGTCGCAATCCACGAGGTCTCTTTGGATGATGCAAGGTGAGTCTTGAGGACTGCAATCCATGCGTCGGTGGCGGAGGGTCGGCAGAAAGGACCTTCGCAACATGGATGCTAACGTATCGTTTTTTCAGCCGTAACAGACGATAAGACATGTTTCAGGATGCTTCAGGTGGTCCACTATTCTCAAAAATTCCAAATGACACTGCCTGCACAATCTTCAACGAGGTAACCTACAACGAAAGTACGCATCGTCCTTTCATACAACAGCGTGGTAAATTTTCATGTTTAAGACCACACCAACAGATAAAGAATACGAGTTCTTTCCGCCGTGACGTCATGTGATCAATGTTGACAGGGCATCCTTATTGGTAAGGGGCGTTGTGACGTTTTGGTGGGATTTAGGGTGACATCGAATTTTAGAGGTCGAAGTCTTTTCGCATCCCTCGTCAGACAGACAGGATGTCAGAGAAGGGATTGCGGCCAGTCCTAGATGGAACGTTTCCTTTGACTCCATTGAAGACTCCTAGCCGTTCGAAACCACTTCCTTCAAGGCATAGTGCCATGCCTACGGGAAAGTAATCTCGGGATCAAAAACTTCCACTTCCAACTTCAAGCTTCACCTTATTTGGCATCTCAAGCAAATTCTAAGAATGTATTGCAGTATCAGTATTTCTGTATTTGTATTTCTGCCCTTCCTAAAATGTATTCCTGTATTTGTATTTCCAAATACATTTTGCCTCTATTTGAAATGTATTTCCGATACGTATCGCGATACATTTTTACAGATATATTTCAGTATCAGTATTTTATCTACTATTTTAATGTATCCCAGTATTTGTATTTCCAAATACATTTTTGAGTATTTCTGCCCAACCCTGGTCTGTTGCAACATAAGAACAACAGGGAAGGCTCCGCACACAGAGTCTCAGCGCGCAATGCGCAAGTCTCTTTGGCACTATGGCGCGCTTATACATTGTCGGATTTACGGGCGGACCCACGCAAGCGGAAAGCAGATTTTGAAGCCGGGTAGTAAAATCAACTCGTCGCTGGCGGAAAATCTGCATCAGTCCGGGACCCATATCCAGATTCTCCGCCACCGACGAGTCAATTTCGCCTCCCGGCTTCAAATTACACGTGCCGCCTGCGCGGATCCGTCCGCAGAGTCGCCAAGTGTAAACGCGCCATTAGGTAGAGCATCGGTTTTGTGCACACCAGCCTTAAAAACAACATGACGCTGATGGATGGTTCTTAATCCTCATGACGTAAAAAAAAAAAAAGAGGCGTTCTTACATTCAGGTCGTAGAGTAATGCAATGCTTCGCTAGGACGTCTCCTGAGGTTTCTATATAGACGCTTTACACACGCGCCAAATTACAGCCGCCATTGCTGACCTTCTGTTGTCTTACCGAGATGCCGAGCAACTGAAACGGTAGTTGACGATCCTCTACAAAGGCCGATGCTTTAGAAAAGGACGCAGTTGAATCTAATGTGGCAATAACCTGGTCTGCCATGGTAATGATGAAGTGAAATAAACGCAATAAGAGGAAACAAAAACTGAAGGTCAGTTATGGCGGCGCCCATGCACAGCTGCTGCAAAGCGTCTATATGTTGCATCCATCTGTAGCGCATTGAGTGCGTAAACATTATTGCTCACTCACCATTACGAGGGCCGCCGTTTTGAGTTCAGACGCTGCGGGCATGGTTCATAAATAGATTGTCCTATTTTCATGTGAGAGTTCAATTCTCCAATCTCAGTGGTGCGAAACATTATATCAACAACGAAAACAATATGGGCTGGAGAAGCGCGTACTGGAAGTTTCTACAGCGATGTAACGCTAAAATGGACATCTCCGTTTCCCCAAAAAAACATCCATAATGCGTGTTTTTCATAATAATGAGACAAAACGCAAATATATACCTTGCTCGTGCCCGAAATTATTTTCTATATAGCGGTGTATCCATGTTAACGTGATATGTATTAACGAGTTATGAGCGTATATGCGGAACGCTACCAGGGGGTAACCAACAAATATGTTGTTTATTTCTTTGGTTGTGTCGATGAACAGTTGCTTTGGTTGTGTTCGTGAACAGTGTTAGTCATTTGTTCGTTTATGTCCTAGTCCTTATACCTGAGAGACAAACAGCAACAATCGAGCGCGTGCAGCGTTCATGCGAAGCAAATTGGCGACGTGCGCGACCGAAAGCGTTGCTGTGGTCGGCCTTCCACGATTGGCCGAACGCTGACTATGACGTCAGAAAAGGATTTATCATCGACGGAAATAAGAGGAATGAAAGAACTTTATTTTTGACGGTGCTGGGCAGTGTTCCTTTGAGAGCGCAATGTTTCAAGCTTCCACCATGCTATCTACAAACACCATCGAACTTGTTGTTTGCAAGGTAATGACGTCACAAGTGGGAACCATAGGAGGGCGCCACCTAAACATCTCGCCGCTAGTCTTATTTGGGCAAGCTTGTAATCACTTTCTGCTTATTTCACCTTTCCGTGCAAGCTACGCGTGCACCTTGAGCGTTTCCTTTGTCTGTCGTTGCTGTTTGTCGCTAAAGTGGGTCTCGTTAGCGTTCAGATCGTCTGATTCCGTAGCTTCCATTCATCGTAGCTGAAGGTCGGTGAGCTGGTCGCGGTGCAGGAGCTGCCCGACAACGCCCGAGAGCCCGTGGCGAGCGTGCTGGTGGCTCGGTCCCCCGACGAAGGTGCCTCCGTCAACGGCGACGACACCCTTGCAGGGGCCGCCTCGCTCATCGACCGCTTCCTGAACGACGCCAACACGGCCACGTTCATCCTGCCCGTATCCTTTTCAATCGAGGCCTTCTTCAATATAAAGTTTTGGTGGAGCGCCTTTCCCCCTTACTTCTCCGCTACGCTGCCAGAAAGGAAAACCCAGCTAGTATAACAAGTTACAGCTCAAGAAGGTAGGGCGGGGGAAAGGAAGGCTGGAGAAAGAAAGCAGACGGAACGCTGGAGGAGAGAGAGAGAGAAACATCTTCCTCTCTCCAGCGTTCCGCCTGCTTCCTCCCTTTCGGCCTTCCTTTCCCTCGCCCTACCTTCTTGAGTTGCAACGGACCATAGCACGAATGCGCGCCGGTAGCTTCGTCTGCGGAGTTTTAACGTTGTGTAGCGGAGTGCCGAGGGCCTTGCGGGATGGCTGAAGCAGCACGTATCAGAAACTTCCCGATGGAGAAGGAGATGGAGAACGCTTTGCGATTTTGACGTTTTGGGAAAACATTTTGGATTATGTAATGCACGGTGCGCGTCAAACGTAACGCCGTCACTAGGTTTTCCGAACACTGATTTATTGCCGGTTACTCAAACAGGAAAGAGGGCTTCCTTATGTCCGGTAGCGATTAAGGAGAGTCGGAAACGTAACCACTCGATGGGATCAGTTGCTACAAGCATATATAAGAAAAATGGCTAAAAGCGGGCCGTCTCGTGGCTGCTTTAAGGTTGGGGAGCAACAAAACGCCCCCCACAACTAAAAACAAAAACAAAAAGGAAAAATAGAAAAAGAAAAAGCAAAGTTTTTTTTGTGTGTGTTTTTAAGTCGAAAATGAACTACGCACTGCTGACTAAACGCTCAATCTCCGCACAAATGTGGCGCTAGTGGTTCGGACCCCATGCCAAAACTTGACAGCATGCCGTAATTTTATTTAAAAAAAACACATATATGCGATTTTCAGTAACTTTCAACAGAAAAATGGCGGCCGGTGAAAAGCACACGATTACGCGGAGATGAATGGCGCCGGCTACTGGGAACGAGACCGATTTTTCCTCAAGTTTCAGAAAATCACTCGTAACTTTTAATTAAAATCATGATGAGTTCTGAAACTTTGCCACCTTGTCCGAACCGCTAGTAGTACAGTTGACTGGAGACTATGGGCTTGGTGACGCATTTTTTCAGTAAAAATAAAAAAATAATACTTTTTATTTATTTATTTTCAGGGACGCGTCGTACTTCTGATTTCTTAGTTCATATAGGATTAACTTGCACTCTGCGAACACTAAACAAAATATCACGTGTTTTTCTTTTTTTTTTTGGAGGGAGAGGGAAGATTTTTGTGTACACGTTTTTAGTAGGGAAGATTTTTTAGTACTATTTCTAGTTTCCAATGGGTGTTTTTGTTCGCATTCCGCGCAAATAGTCGGCGTCCATAGAACAAGTGTTTAACAATATTCATTTCGCATAGGCGGAACAGCGGCACGTGCAATCGATGGAAAAGTCAAAGAAGGTTGCAAATAGCAAAAATTCAGAGCACACACACACACAAAAAGCGGTATTCTTAGAATTTGTTTTCTCGTCAATTTGATTCTTGTTGTTATTAACGTCCCTTTGATTTGTCCTTGGCTCCTCAAATTTTGACGCCTTTTTTACGCGTTTTGAGAGTTGCTCACTCCCCGGTTCTCTTCTCCACGCCCTTCCCGTGCCTTCAATTCCTTTTGAGTCCCGAGTATTGCGGCCCGAGAAAGCGCGTTCTCCATTGTTTTGTTCGCTCGATGCTCTCGGCATCACACGTTAACAAAGACAGCGTTGCCGCATCCAGTGCTCGTACTGGTATTATGTGTGTATTGAATACGAAGTACAAGAAATATGAGAATAAATGCGGCACATTCAGGCGGCTTTTGCTGCTTATTAGACAAAAAAGACGAAGTGTAAGGTGGACCGTGGATAAATTGTTTTAATGGGGCCTCGAGAGCGGTGGGACAGTGCGGAATTCGCTCGTGTTGATGTATTTTAGTTCGTCAGGGTCATTTTCTGAATGCAAACAAACAAAAAGTCAGTTCTTGAAGCGACGACATTTATTTTTTGCCGCGCTGCGTTATCGTTTTTTTTTTTTTTTTATTGTTTACATCGTCTAGCAGCGCTCTGCACAACCCGATACAAGATCTTTGTCTCCGCAGAGAAGGCTGGTGGCATGCAGCACAGTAACGGCGTCTTCGTTTCATGTATACCGTAGCGGAGGGGGAAGTGCGAACGACTCCTATTATTAAATTGATTTCATCAAAAGAGATGACAAAGTTTGCGCGATTGCTAACTAAACGGGATAGCTCACACGAAGGACGTATTTTTCCATGGCAGGACTATGGTAGAGAGACGGAATATCTGATGTCATAGTAAGCGTTGCCAAACCTCATGGTCTCCAGCAAGCAAGTTCACCGACGTGGACGAATTCGCTTACTAGGGAGCCCACCCATGTCGGAGAAAATTAAAGCATGGGGGGGGGGGGGGGGGATGAAAACAAAGACGGACCATTGTGTTACGTTTTGAATTTGCAAAATGACGTCCATGACCAAATTAGATCAGGTTAAAGGTGTGTCACGTGCCGTCTGCACGCTGTTTGTCTCTTTCCGTGGTTCAATACACACTTCTCAGCACGCAGCTACACCATTCCCTCTCGGGGCTTGTTTGCTTGAAGGGATGCGTCTTTTCCTAGGAGAATTTTTCTTTCTACTCAACCTCACCCCATTCATGTGGAATTAAGTCTGCCTTTTTTTTTTAATTTCTCGTGTTAACTTTTTCTTGTAGGCAGACAATTGACTTGAAAATTCATGCTGACTTGCACACACACAAAAACAAAGTTCAGGCTTATGTTACGTGATCCTGAAAAAGGCGTGAAAGTGCTGGACTTTGGTTCTGCAGCACAGAAGTCCAGCACTTTCACGCATTTGAAAGATTAATTCGCAGATTCCTTATACGAGTAGGTCTGGCGGTTATCCTATTTCACCCCTGGCGACATGTCAGACAACGAACCTTATGCCAGCACAAAGTATGTGGTTGCCAAAGGTCACAACACATTGGCGCCTTTTGAAAAATTGACGGCGACAAGGAAATGCACCGGCATTGTCTAATTCAGTAAAGAACGTTCATTTTTGTCGATGCTTTCAACCTCTAAACTGCCACAAGTTACGCGCTTTCACGACCTGGGCTCCCACGACGCCGATCTGATTATCGGCGTAGGTCCAATGGGGGAACATGGCGAAGGAAGCTGGTGCGGTCGGTGGCACAATCCAGTCACCGTCATACCACTCCACGAGGCGCTGACACTGGCGCAAATAGTGTCCTTGCTTGTAGAATAATTTCTTGGGGCCGTCAGAATCCATGCCCGGAATCCCACCTCTGACACCAAATGTTACGCTTTTGAATTTGCAGGATGACGTCTATAATAAGATTAGATCAGATTAGAACTTTCACGCGCCGTCTGCACGCGCTTCGCCTTCTTCCGTGATTGCCGGCACACGGCCGCTACAATAGATTTATTTCTATACGCCGTAAGGGATTTAGAACTACGATGGTCGTTTCCCAAGCAGCTCCCATTCATAATTTCTTTTCTAAAAAAAAACATTTTTTTTTGTTGGGGGGGGGGGGGGGGGGTCCAATTGAAAGATGGTTTAAGCAAACGCATGGATACGAGACTTGAGGATGAGCCCAATGAAAGACCGAATCGCATGACAGTGACGTCAAGTTCGTTGGACTCCTACCCGCTCCTTGCAGATGCTCGAGCCGTGACCCAACCGTAACATTCGCAATTCATCTTCTAAACCGCACGTTCTTTTTTTTAATATCCTTCGTAGAACAATAGGGGGAGGTGGTTGGAAAGAGGGGGTTGGGGGGGGGGGGGGGTGGTTCGTTCGCTTACACTGCCCTCTCTCCCACCCAAACGCACCCCATCGGAGATCCATAATTTAGTTCCCAACGGTCGTCCCTAGGGCGTACCGTCGTAATTGAAAACGATTACGTGACTCATCCTCACGATCCGAGAGAACGTTGCTTGGGACCGCACTACCTTTCCACTTCCTTTCTTTTTCGCTGATCCACACCCGAAATATGTTTCGTCACTTAGTATTTGATTTGGCTCGGTTCCTTTTTTTTTTATACGGTTCTTCGGTTTATTCTGCCGCAGAAGTTTAGGGCGGGGGTCCCGTTGGAACCAATATTTGCCCGTGGCAATGATAACCTTCCAACTGATTTTCCCTTTTTCTTTGTGCGCCTCGGTGCGGTCCGGACCGTCTCTTGCGCTGCCGACACTCTCTGGACTGTGACGACCGGACCGCGGTGAGTCGGGCCCCGAGAAGGTGAACGTACCGGCCGGGCTGTTTTTTGTGTTTTTTCTTTTCTTTTTTTTGGAGGGCGTCGTAATTCCCCTCGATGGTCTGCTGTGGGTTCGAGATTTGACAAATGAGGGGAACCTATAATTAGGGACGATTCGGTGTGCTTTCAGACCGCTGTCTATTTTCGGTGTGTGGGAGTGCGGACCGAGCGGGAAAGGGGGACGTGGTGAACGATACGTGTCCGAGTTCATTAGGGAAACCGGTTCTCCAAAGCGTGAAATTTTCTAAATCACCCAGCTTTCCTCCTTTTTTTTTTTCTGTTTAAAAAAGTGGACCCGATCGGCGCAAGCGGTTTAATTGATAGTAGGTGGACATTGCAACGGTTTTAGGAATTGTTCACTAAAACGCAATGTGCCGGATATGAAATGAAGTATCCACGTGAACGCCAATGCTCATGTTCACCTAAGGTAACATGGAAAGAAAAGTTCGGCTCCGCACGAAGCGTTCCTAATTTGACTTCCTTTATACGGTGAATTGTAAGATACTTAGTGCATTTAAAGAGGCGATGAACAAAGTTTCTACTTTCAATAAATGTGGCTTAGAATGATTTCTATGACATTTATAACCTAGGAAACACACGTTGCTTTTATTTTTATTTTCTCTGCGCAATGGCAGTCACAGAAAGAATCCGAGAAAAACGAACAACTGATCCGTAGACGATTATATACCTCCACTGTTTTTAACGTAGCCACTGGTAGGGGTTGGCAGGGCACAAGGCGCACGCTAAATTCACACTTCCAGGCATTGTTGAGGTTCGGCTGTTCTCGTCGTCCCAGCGATTGGCCACGAACCGCTTTCCGAATGCACGTCGATTGTCGGGGGGCCTACGTTTGGGGGGGGGGGGGGGGGGGGGGGGAGCGGCTACGTTCCCGTTCGGTTTTGGCATAACGGTAACAGTAACCTTATTTCGATAATGTAATACCAAAATATTCTATTCTAGTCATACCAACGTAAAGGGGCGGTGCAACGATTTTATGATTAATAGAATTTACATCTCGTCATTTTTACGTTGTTTATCGTGTCACGGATAGAAAAAACACCCCCTTCATTAAAATTTCGCGATTCCGCTGCATAATCGCAAATCAGAAGTCGAGCTTTCCCCCCCCCCTGCAGCCCCAAGTGGCAGCCGAAGGAACTACGGAGAAAAGATTACGTGAACTCGCTCGGCTCTAAGCTGCAGCTTACCGCCCGCTAATGTCAGCAGAGAGTGGGAGAGGAAGCGCCCTCCGATATAGCACACGGGAACCTACACGGCACTCCGAATGACGTCACTAGGAGGGGGACCAGGTGTGACCCTGAAGACTGGAAGTGAGTTGAGGGTTGCCCGAAATGCCAATATTTATCTTTTTTTTTACGCAACAACTAGGACACGCAGGCGAAATCGGTTTTCTGTTCTTTACTTCAGAAGTGTCAGAGGGCAACTTCCAGAAATCTTTGACCGAAGTCCGAAAATCGTTGCAGCCCCCCTTTAAGGAACGCGTGACCTATATGATGATCACTTCTTGCTTTATCGTTCATTAATCTTTGGTGTTATTCTCAGCTAACGCCTTAATCGTATTTGCCGCGGAGCGGCAATAGGGAGTTTTAGTAGATCGTTTCGATGACTGGGATAACAATACCCGACTCGTACTGCGCCGACGCCTTAGCGCATATGCCTCGTATCGTTATCGGGAACCGTTATTAGAGAGCTTTAGGGAACCGTCTTTGCACATCCGGTACGGTACGATGGGCCGTCCGGTACGAACTGCGCGTATGGGAGTCTTCTCCGGTAGCGCATGCGCAGTTTGTACGAGGGGACCCACCGTACCGTATCGGATGTACAAAGACGGTTCCCTAGAACTCTTTGTTAGAAGCATCGCAACAATCTACTAAAACACGCCACGCCCCACATTTCTGAAGCTCTCGGCGACTCTTGAAGCCAAATAAACAGGGTATCTCCGCCACCTAACCTTTGTTCTCTTTCGTTAGTTTGTTTCGGGGGGGGGGGGGGGGGGGATATACGCGTGCCTCATTGATTCCATGACTCTAGCCATTCCAGACGCTCATCGTCGTCGTGACCATGCTGGCCTGCATGGTGCTCGGAGTGGCCATTTTTATCGTCCTCGAGTGTCGCAAGGTTAAGAGGATTTCTGCGTCGCTGCACTAACACGGCGCCGCATGGCGCCACTCGAGAACTCGTTGAATCTACTGCTCGATCGCATCGCTGTCGAAAAAAAAAAATCTCGATTTGAAACTTTTTACGGGTTTCATTTAGTGAAAGAGTGACACATATCACGAGCATAAACCGAAATTGTACCCGGTGCCATGATGTTTTCTTGAACGGAACACCCAGCGGGAAGTGGGCATTGGACGTTGGCATCTATACTGCACACTTTGCCCGAGGCGTTCGGTTAAGCCTATAGTTGATGACAGGTTAAGAATGCGATAGATGTTTCGCCTCTAGAGTAGCGCAAGCTTTCGACCTTGGGTAACACCATAGCTTCCTCTATACTCACAAGGTCTGGCAGTTCGACGACGGGGCCATGGAGTGCCCGGTCGCAGACTTGGAGCGCGAGGATCTGGTAGCACAGAGCGACAAGGAAACAGCGCACCCTCAAAACAAGCACTCTAAGCTTTCATGCACACAAGAGAAAGAGCCACTTACACAGCGCTGACTGACAACTCTACGTTACATTTACAATTTCGTTTTCGTCTTTCTTTGAAACTAGGGTTTTCTATGGCAAAAAATTGCCCTTTTCTTCTTCCTTCTTTTTCCTGTGTTTTTGGAATAGCATACACACCAAGATACGATAAAAACTTCAAGAGGGATATTGTTTAGTTGATAGAAAGTACGTATACTCATAGTATCCAGACAATAAAAACGCGTATATGTATACCACTGATATCTACTATAGGGGGCTGGATCACGCTTAGCTGCTCTCCGAGCCCGGCGCAAGTGAAGCCACCGGAAGTGCGGTGCTTGTCCCGGAAGTCGGGCGTGCGCTGGGCTTCCTATAGTGCATTCAGTCGATATTTTGGACCATGCTCTTTTGTGTCTTTGATTGGGTTATAATACTCCCGTTCTGAATTAAATCCCGAGAATGAAGCATTTGAACTTGGGACATATTCACAATTTGATAAACTAGAATCTCAAAATGTTTACATTGAATGGCTTCCCATGATACTTCTCGGGTCCGCATGCGCTCTTACTGCGCAACAAGCAGGCTCTCTTGAGGGAACAAGCGAAAATCCAGCGCCCTCGACACTTTTCGAGCCAGCACTCGAAAGGGTTACAAAGCCTGCCAAGCGCTCACTTCCGGGACAAGCCGCTCACTTCCGGTGGCTTCATACCTGTTTGCTCAATGCGCCATCCAGCCCCCTCTATAGTGGAGATCAGTGATGTACACTATTGGTATTACAAGTCATGTTCCATAAATCACAGTAGTCAGAAACACGGTTAAAGGGACCATGAAATGATCTTAAAATCGAATTTCATCCACCGCACGTCGTAAAAGGTGTGAAAAGAAACACAAAAACACAAAACTAGGGAGCCAAAAAGAATTATTTGCTAAAGAAAACTGGACTCTTTTGCGACTTCTTTCCTTCGAAAGCTCTGCCTTTTCACTACGATGCATCCGCAGAAACGGAGCACGTCAGCCGAATCCACGTAACCTATTGGGTAAGAGCCTACCTCACCAGTACCGCGATCGTAAACAATAAATAGCCGGCGAATGTTTCCTAAAAGTTTTGTTAAATAATATTCAGATCCACATTTTGTAGCATAATTAGAGATGTGTGGCGAAAATTGCCAAATTTGATAATGCTGAGAGCCAAGCGCCATCTATCGTGTGGTAAACGAAGCAACTACTGCGCGTGCGCAGTAGGGCAGGGCCGACTTCAGAACGGTTATTTCCTTTGGTTTCCTTCCCCTCAAAACTTTGACTGACTGAACGTTTATTTTTCTATGTGTTCATCTCGCGCGTGCCGACTTCAAGCAGCAAGAAAAAAATTTACTTAAAACAGACCACGACGAACAAGAACGCTGGATCCACAAACACCCGAGAAGAGCGACAACAGCCGCGAATCCCGCTCCGACGAAGCTCTCAGAATATAGGCCTAGCAGGCACTCCGACTCGGCGCAGCGTTGCTTCGTCGCAAGACCGTCTGCCTGCCTACGACCGGCTGGCGTGCTGAATGGAATATGCCCGCGCTACCCTTGTGGACCCTTCCCGTATTATAGTTTGATCGCTGACCTCAATTTTAGATTAAGAGGCGAGGTCAATCTCTTCCCCTTGTTTTCCGAGGCAGTGTTGACGAACACTCGTCGAAAAGGGACTCTCGTCGATTCTCTCTTCTTGTTTTGTGTGATATAGAGCTGAAATAAACGCTGTGTGGATTACCTTCGTAACACGGTATGTACACTTTGTTATTGGTATGCCATTTTTATTCTGACAGACTGCACGTCACTGTCGAGCTGTAACAGTTCGTGGGAGGTATACGTGCAATACCGGTCCAACCTTTCTTTGCCGAGTGTCGCGTCAGTATCGAGTTGCAATCGTAAAAGATCGGTCCCGAAGCGCTTACCAACAGCGCGAATACAGCACTTCCATCAAACACGCGCGTCCGCTCCGAGTGTGAACGGGTATTTACGTGGCTCTTGTTGACACTCCTAGTTCAAACGTATCTTTTTTAACGTCGGCTCTCTCCTGCATCTCCGAGACCGCGAAAAACGCCGCGGCAATTTGTTTCCATCTACGTCGCTTTGCAAACGACTGACACTGGCCGCCTTTTACCAACAATGACAGTTGGGTTGACTTCTGAAGTCTTCACCGGAAGACTCGCTGCACTTCCCAACAGGCATACCGGTGTATGGGACTAGTCCCATGCTGTCGCTGTAGCGCAACGTATCTCATTGAATTTCGCTCAGCTGCGATGCGGCGATGAGAGGCGCCGATTCAGAAAATACGTCGGTGACATCGGCGCAGTAAAACCTACCGGCGCACCCCAACTCGTCGCCGCTAACGCTCCCATCTCCTACCGCCGAGAGAACTTCCGGTTCCGGAAACAGCGTACGTCACGGCTTGTTTTGCGGTCAAGAAAAAGTCGGTATTTCGTTAATTTTTTGTGTAGAAGTTAATAAACCGAGACGAAAACGGATGCCTGTTCGGCATTCAGTGAACATTGACGGTTTAATGTAAAAGTTATCTGGAAAAAGTAAAAAGGTCATTTCATGGTCCCTTTAATGTAGAACGTACAAAAGAGACACGTCAGAATCATTGTTAAATTTGCGATAGATCTCACTGTTGTCGGAAAAAAGCCAAAAGGGGGACTATTATTATACACAGTCATCGGCAAAAAGACATGATCAGAAAAAAACGAATCAGTATTCCTTCTAATATTTTAGTAATACTGTAATTCAGGTTACATTCGTTCAAAAATTAGTGTGTTACGCAAAGAACGGTTTGGGAATATAACAAACTTTTCTTCTTTTTTTTTTTGTTTCCCGTCATACAGTTAAATAAAGATATGCAAGGATTCTCCAGAAAAAGATTCCTGTAGTGCAGAGTGATATGTGTTGGTTATTTCCGGAAAAAAATATCTAGCTGTGTGAACACTTGGGCAGTGGTTAGGTTAGCATGCCGCCTTCATAAATTGCAGTTAGCGCCGTTTTTAGGGCCAATATTAAGTTTCTGCCTGGACATTTCGGGCTCGAAGCCAAGGTAGGGTCAAACTTGACCTTTTTGGACCAGGGTCTGGGTACTCGCGACCTAACCTTTGCATTTGCTTGGCAAAGTTATGGCCAAGGTACTCAGACCCTGGCCGTATTTTGCCAAACAAATGCAAAGGTTAGGCTAGTGCCACTAAATAAGCTCATTTAGTGGCTTTAGGTGAGGCTTCACGGCGGGTAGTTTGGCTATCATCTGGCATCTTTGGGCCTAAATAGCAAACAAAAATTGTCAGGGTTAGATTTCATTTCTGATTGTTCTGTATTTATGCATGTGGCAAAATTAGACATAAATTTCCAAACAATTGCCAGATTTATCGTGACGTAAACCTCGAGACTGCAGGGAAACACGAGACATAGGCTGAAAGGTCTTTCAGTGTGTGTCGTTCTTTGCCTGCAGTCTCAGGGTGTATGTCGTGATCAGTTAACACCGGCTCGTTTCCGTAATGACGCTCAGTGCCAGATTTCGGGCTTTACTGCTGGTATTTGGCTATCATCTGGCATCTCTGGCTCAAACTGGCACTTCGGCAATTATGTGGAGGGCCGGAGGAAAGCCATAGAAAAGGTAGAAAAAAACAAAAAAACACTGACACCAACTAATGACTTGGAGCAACATCACATTAGGCCCCAGTTAGACCTCTATAGGATTGTCAAGCTTGTGCCAAGTTCGGCGTTCCTTTGGCGTGCTACCTGGGTATCTTTTGTCCCCGTTGTGTAGATTTGGCCGCTGCACTAGGACCAACTGCCGAGGGGAGTTGAGCGTGTATCTCGCACTATAATACGGCCATGCATCCCCCATAGTTTCCCAAAAGGAAGGCATCCCGCGAACGTCGTTCTGTTGAACCAGAGCGACCGTTCTGCCACATCATTCTGTGAAAGGTAAACATTCAAACCTTTATCAACCTCGTTAAACTTCGACTGCATCAAACCCATTGGGTAAATTCGCACACTATTCTCTCATTACAAAATAACTTCGTACGTCAAGGAGTTCGGCGTCTACGTCCTGAACTTGTAAATCGCGAGTACTGAACAAAAATAACATACCTGTAGTCATTGACAGTCTAAGAAACGTAGGGCATAACATATTGCGTGCATGCATGTCCTCGTGATTCGCACTTCGACGTTCTTATCGGCTAGCACGCTCCGCGTTTATAAAGCTCCCAGTTATTAGCATTGTAAACAAGTGCACTTTGTAGATTTTTTTTTTTTTTTTTTTTTTTTTGTGGGGTACCGAGGGCTTGTCAAGCTGTACGAAAACAGCTTTTGCCCTCGGCCCCCAAATTCTTTTGGAGCATGGAAATAAACATTCTTTAAATCTTTTTCAGCTCAAAATGTCCCGTGCATCTACTCGATCTAGAATTGTGCTCGATATTATTGTGTGTGCAATACGCTTCAGGCATCACAAATTATCCGTAACCTTGTCAAAGGCACAAGCTCGTGCGAGAGCAAACTGCTCTGTCACCCCTATAGTGCTCACGTATGAACCCTTCCTCGGAACGCTACTCTCGCCCCTGCCTTCTTGGATGCCGCACACAACTCTTGTATACTTCGTCTCACCTTAGCATGGACTATTAGGGAGTTTTCGT